CGGGGCTTGGGGCCTGGCCCCCTCCCCCCAGCCCTTGGCAACGGGCAGCGCCAGGGGGTGACGCCCAAGAGCAGCCCGCTGACGACTGTGGGATTTCCTCTCCTCTTGTGAGAAGACTCCGCCTTCCATGCCGGCCTGCAGGTCCCCAGGGGCCGAGCTCCAGCTGCCATAGCCTCCTTGGACCCACGAGGGCAACTTCATTGGCGTCCCTCTCCCAATGTCACTGCCCCCCCCGGCGTCCTGCTTGCAGGCTCTGCTCCCCAGAAGCGCAGCCGAGCACACCGGTGCGTCCGTGCCCTTGGGCGGCCGAGAACGGCCACGCGGTGCACACGTGTGTGCATGTGACCTCGCGCCTGTGCGTGCGTGTTCTGGGACGGGGTCTGTGTGCACGCAGACATGCGACTGCACTGCGTGATGGTGCAACCATGTGCGTCGAAACAGGTGCCTGCTGGGGCCTAGGGGTGGCCACCGCCCGCACCAGGTGACCTGGACCTCCGCGTACCAGATGAGGGGGTCGTCGAACGGAGGGATGAAGACCCAGCCTGGGTTGTTCTTCGCCAGGGCCTTGGCCAGCTCGAAGGCCTCGTCCAGTGTCTGCAAAGCCGGGAGGGAGACGGGAGGGATGAGGCCCTGAGGAAGTGGGGGGAGACCATCCAGCCACCCAGCGCCTCCGTGGCCCCCGACCAGGTCAGCACTCACCTCCCCCACCACCCTGACCATGGCGCCTTCGTTCTTGAGCCGCTTGATGGTGACGGCAGGCGTGGTACTGGGCACAACGATGGTGGCAGGGATGCCCAGCTTCCTGGCCGCGTACGCGGTCGCCATGCCTGCGTTACCAGCTGCCAGGGGCAGAGACGGAGAGTGTGTGGGTGTGGGAGGGCCTGGGAGCCTCACCCAGCCTCCTGCTGGCCTCCCCAGAGCTCCAAATAACAACATGTCTGCAACAGCTCATTGCTGGGGAAACCGGGCCCAGAGAGGCAGAGCGCTCGGCCTCAGAACACACAGCAAAGGACAGGACGGGGGCGCAGGTCGCTTACCCGAGGAGCAGACGAAGTGCTCACAGCCTCGTTCAGCCCACTGTGGAGACAAGCACGGAGGGGTCAGGCCACCCCATTACTGCCTGGGCCTCCACTACCTCCTGCCCGCTCCCCTGAGCTGACCGCTCCTTCCTTCCCTCGGAGGTCACTCCTCCTGTCTCACACTGTTTCTCCTCCCCAGAGATGGCTCAGGGAAGGGGGCAGGTGGCTGATGGTTCCGGGCTCAATCCAGAAGGGACCCTAGTGGATGGGTACCCCCTAACCAGAGGAGTCCCTACCAGTGGGTGCTCGGGACACCTCTCTCAGAACTCTTCATTTCACCCACTGTGGGCCCCGCTCAGCCAAAATGCAGGGCCTCCCCCCCTGCCCCGATGACGCCAGCCTGGCCCCGTACCGTCCTGCAGAGGTGCCCGATGCCCCGGATCTTGAAGGAGCCCGCGGGTTGGGCACTGTCCAACTTGAGGTAGACGCAGGTGCCCGCCTCTTTGGACAAGGTCATGCTGTCCCGAAGGGGGCTCTTCACGTGCAGGGGCTCTCCAGATGTCATGGCTGGGAGGAAGGAGGAAACCCAGGGGCTCAGGAAGATGGCCTGGGGCCAGCAGCTGCCACCCAGCAGGGCGTGCGGCTGGGAGGGACCCTTCCTCCAGTTCCCGAGAGGCACAGAAAGGGCCCGGGTGATATGGCAGCCGGGAGACCTGGGTTCGAACCTCCGCTGGGCCCTCTCCTCGCCATGTGGGATCGGACAGGCCTTCTCTCTCAGCCCCAGCTCTCCCATCTGCAGAAGGCGGATCCCTCCCCACTCTCGCCCGCTCGCCCTTCGAGAGAGACGGTGAGTATCAGAAATGACGTTCCGTTCAGATCTTGCAGCTGTCAAAATCTTGGGGCATGCCGGCCCTTTTTGAAGTGCTGGGATGTTTTGCCATGTGTACGTGCTCCTTATTTAAACATGTATATATATTTATTTTTAAACCTTCAAGAAGCCCAGTATCCAGCTAGACAAAGTCTTTTTTATTTTTTTTGAAGAGGGTTTTTTGCTATAGGGTGCGTGCGCTCGCCAGACAGACAGAGAGAGAGAGACCGAGAGATAGAAAGCAGGAAATCGCCCCCCAGGGGAGATGGCCACTCCGCAATCCCTTCTCCTCCATTCTCCTCTTGGGATCTTGGGCACGCAAGCACATGCGCCCGGTGTGAGTTTAAGCCACCGGGTCCGGGACTCGAACCGCAGTTGACTACATGGGAGTCCAGCGACATAGCTATTACGCTAACTGCTGGTCCCAAGACAAAGTCTTTTACTACTATTGATTTTTATGATGAGTATTAGGATACAGTCTGCCTTCTATATCTGCGGATTCTGCACCTACAGGTTCAACCAACTATGGGTTGAAAATATTTTGGGGAAAAAAAAATCTGCACAGTGAAAAATAATACAAATTTAAAAAAAAATGACCTAACGCTGGTGGCACAGGTAGTTGAGTGCTACTGCATGAGGCCAGGGCCAAACAGGAGACCTGAATTCGGATCCAAACCAGCCTGAACATGCTGGATATCAAAGCATGAGCCCGTGTTTCTGGTTAACGGGAAACCAGGGCAGAGGACCACCATGGCAAGACCCCGTCCCAAAAAAATGTCCCCCTCTTCCCGCTCTTTCTCGCCCATTAACAACAGGGCAGTGCTGGCAGGAGGTGTAGTGGTTAAGGCACTGGACTCCCACATGACCGACTGCAGTTCAAGTCCCAGACCCAGTGGCTTGAAAAGCTCACCAGGTGCATGCATATGTGTGTCTAAGATCCCAAGAAGAGAATGGAGGAGAAGGGATTGCAGTGTGGCCATCCCCCCTGGGGGGTGATTTCTCACTTTCTGTCTCTCCATTTCTCTGGCGAGTGCATACCCTACAGAAAAAAATCTCTAAAACAAACAAACAAAGAGAGCTAGCTGATTGCATGGTGGTTAAGGTGGCTGGATCCCACATGGCTGACGGTGCATTCAAGTCCTAGACCTGGAGCCTTGAGAAACATGCCAGGAATGAGTGCATGCATGTGTACCCAAAATCCCGAGACGGGGGAGCGGTAGAGAAGGGACTGCAGGTGACCACCCCCCACGGGAGGTGCTTTCTTCCTTTCCTTCTCTCTCTGTCTCTCTCTCCTGAGCTCACTGGCCCTCCAGCAAATCAAAACAGTGTAACTATTTATGTGGCCCTTCCCCTGTGTGAGGTGTTGTAACTGATCCTGAGATGATTTAAAGAGCACAGGAGGATGCACAGGAAGGACTTGGCCCCCTGCGGGGTTTGGAACCCGTGGATTTGGGGCGGGGGTCATGCAGCCGTGTTGAAAGGAAGCCCAGACCACTTGGCTTCACGTGTCCCCTGGACAGCTCTGTAAGTTCCCTGCTGGTGGCCAGTGTTTTTTTTTTTTTTTTTTT